TCAATCATGCCATTCAGGTGAATTTTTTGGGGCGTGCTGAGTGGTCGTTGGCGCGGGTTGGTGCGAAATTTGGCCTTTTCGCGATCGGGAATGTTGAGTTTGTGTTCCGCCCCCGGAACGACTGTGACTTCGCTCATGGAGAGAGCAAAGCAGTCCGCATGCGCACGAAGCACCTCGACAAGACGATCCCGCTGGCTCTCGGTGAGGTCATCACCAATTTTTATCTCGGCCAGTACTGCGTCAACCCGTGCGGGAAGAAATGGGTCTGTTTTTCGGGTCAGGATACTTTTATCAGAGATATTCAGCATGGGCGGCTGTTCAACACCGGGATGTTCGTTCCCCGGTCCTGCGGCGTCGTCGAGAATCCAGACTTGTCTCCAGTCCTCGTTGACTACGGCAGTTCGGTTCCAGCTGCGTAAGCCATCAATATCGGGCAACTTCGCATCGGCGGCCATATGAGGTGGGACTTCCCTCGAGGGGAAATTCTCATTCCCCATTACGTCCACACGCTTGTACTCTCTCGCTCCTCTCCAGGAATATTCGTTGTTGACAGCCTTCTTTTTTGAAATGCCCATATATGATCGCCATTCCGCACGCTCTGCAGCACTTCGCCGTTCCAGCCCCATGCTCGTTAGTGGGCGTGGGATCTGTGGGCGAGGTGGGTCGTCATTCTGCTCTTCACCATGAATCTCGGGGGAAATTTGGACTCGCCTCAACGGGGGATTTGATTTCCCCCGTGTGACGTCGCACGCGTCAGATATCTTGGGCTCCGCAACATCCTCCTCCACAACCTCAATCTCCGCTACACCTCCATCCTCTACCGCTCGGCTCTCTTCAGTTTTTCGACGCCGCTGGCGTCTATTAAACCACGGCCGTGGTTGCTGTATCTCCAACTGGTCAATCTGTTCTTCGGGAATAGATTCCATTGGATGGACTTGCCTCGAGGGGGACGCGTACAGACCCCCCCGAAATTTAGTACGCTGCTCCAGAATTGCCACGGGTGGTCCGAGAAATTTGATTTTCTGCATCGCAACCTGGTCAACCCGTTCCTCGGGAATAGATTCCAAGAGAGAATGGACTCGCCTCGAGGGGGACGCGCACATACCCCCCCGAATTTTAGTGCGCTGCTCGTTCTCCATCAAGACTTCAACATTGTCATCCGCCGTTGGCGCCACAGCTAAAAACTGGTTTTGAAGCGAGCCCCAAGCTCCGGAAGTAGCGCTCGGAGGCAACCACAAGACATCAGTCTTGTAGTCGTGGATGGCTTCGAAGGCTTCAAGTAAAGGCTTTCCGAACAAGAGTGCCCACGCGCCCCTGCTGTCAAAGACTTCGAACTCTCCGTAGCGCCTCGAACCGCCCACATCCACCCATCCTTTCCACGTCCCTGTTGACGGTAGCAGATGGCCATTGGCCATGCGCAAGATACGGATGGACGGCAAGAGCGGCGATAAATGTCGACTGACGCCGTTGAAAACATGCTGGTCTATGGCGTTCACCATGGCGCAATCATCGAACACCCCCCGCATTGGCACAAAATCCCCCCGCAGGCCTATCAGTGCGATATTATGCACGAAGGGCACTGATTTTTTCTTCTCCGCCGAATCGCTCACGCTGTACAAGTCAAAAACATGAATTTGGGACTGGTGATGGTACAAGCGCGTGTCTGGGATAACCTCATCGTCCATAGGTTGAGCTCCCTCCCCGCTACCCGGGGTACATGCGAATTCGGGCGCCGTGACATCCCCGAGCCGAGCCTCCGCGAACTCGGGGACCACTGAATCTTGAGCAGGAATTGAACTTCGGGCCGTCGAAAGAGCTGCGCTCTCTAATCCGACGACCCTTGGCCTTTTCCCTGCTCGTTCGCGTCGTGTTCAGCGGTGTTGTACTGTGGATTATAAGGAGAATACCACGCTGGGTTGTACTGGTAGACGGCGCTGGGATCGAAGTTGTATGGCGACGAGACGTACTGCATGGGAATGGGTGGACCCGTAGTGTTACGGCGCGGAGTGCCGCTGGAGCCGTTGCGGATAGACGCCGCGATTTGACGCCATTTCTTCTCGAGAGGGGGCATCGAAGGATTTGGGCAGTCGTTCGTCATGTGCCCGAGCAAGGCGCAGTTGAAACATTCGCCACGAGAGTCAAGCGGCGCTGTTCCGGGAGTGAGCGGGTACGGCCTGAGTTCGTTGGGGCCGCGGTTCCCATTACGAGCATGCCGGTCGCTGATGAGCTGTGCGTATGCGGTGCGTCCAACGTCTGTAGCAGGATGGTGCGGCGGTACGTTCTTCAGAAGGTCAACGAGACGCTCCGAATCCGGACGGAAGGCACGCTGTTGCGCTTGGCCTTGCTGCTGTACAGGAGCGACGGCAGGCTGAGGCTGGGGCTGGGGAGGTGGAAAAGGAGGATATGCAGGGTATCCCTGGGGTGCGAAGTGCTGAGGTTGCACCGGCAGGATCCGCGATGTCACGGCGTGACGCGATGGCTTCACCGCCGCGAGTTCGACCAGTCGAGCCTCCTTCGCCAACGCGCTGACAATGGCGGCCCGCTTGATGTCGATCATAGCCTGCTCGAAGACACTCCAGGACGAGAAGACCGTCCCTGGACCAAGGAGATCTTGCATAACCACCGGCAGCTTGTCGATTACGATCCCGATGAACAGACCGTTGGGATCGGGAACTTTGTCCGCCGCAATCCGTGCCACAGTGCGCGCCCAAACGACATGCCCGAACTCTTCCACTCCCCCGTGCTTCACCCGCTTCCCGATATCCTCTGGCTTCAACTTCTCCGCCTGCAAGTCGTCAATCGCGTCTTGACCGACGCGCTTCAGCGCAACACGCTTCGGCCACTTCAGGTCGAACGCGTTGGACATGGCGGACCATGAAGCTTTGTCCGCCACGCTGCACTCATCGAACCAGACGTCTGCAGGACTCCCGGACGCCATGCCGAGCCCGAGCGCTTCTATCTTCTCCTTGTCACTCATCCCCTTCCCCATGAAGCGCTGCATGACCTTCTTCTTGAAATTGTGGGGGCTCTCACCGTCCTTCCCATCACCATGAAACGTTTTTTCCTCCACCATCTCGTCGTCGTCGTCAATGTACGCGCGTGGGGTCGATGCTGTCGTCGTCACTGCTGTCGATTTGGCCGAAACGAATCGACCTCTGGCTCCGTGAAGGTTATGTCTGTAATTGGCTGGAGCAGCAAAAGGTTCGGGCGAGGAAGGTAGTGGATTTTCTTTGTCGTCTTCGGAGTCACTGGAATCCGCCAGATCGTCTCGTGGTTCTCGGTACAGCAGGTTGGACAGCGGGGGCAGCAGGGGACAGCAAGGCAGCAGCAGCAGTGAGTCGAATCGCGCTCCAATCACCAGATGGAGACGCACAGTCCAGCAGGAAAGCCCAAGGAGAATGCACAGAAGTGCGGTACAAGGTGCGATGGCGCCTCGAGGCGGCGCCTAATCTACTGACATATGCTACAGCCAAACACAACCCCGACTGATGCGCGCCTACCGCACCGCCGTCCCGAACCAGCCCGAACCTCCCACTACAACGCTCATCCGCTTTTACAGCCGATATCAAATTCCTCGACGAATGAACACGAACTCGTGCGGTTGACAGTAATATCTTGGCATGTTGAAGTATAGTGTTTGTAGGCCCATGAACTCCATCGGTCGCGCCACTGCGTCAGCAGACGTGAGCGGAATATTTCTTAGTCGTGTATAGCTCACGCTGGCTTTGTACCGCGAGAGCATGAATCCGTCGATCCGAGCGTTCACCATTATGACGCTACCTCCCTAACTATCTACCAGTCCAGCATGTCGGAAAAACAGGGAGGGTACTCTTCCCCGTCAGGACGGGGAGACGGATGCTCCAATACGCTCCTCCGTCCCTCCATTTTCGCCAACCACTCTCCGAGCACCGTTCCGGAGGAGGCGAGATATCTGGATTTGTGCATCCAGAGCAGGTCAGATTCCTGTATACCAAGTCTCTTGGTTGGACGGTCAACAAGCACCCACATGACCCCTCTGAGGTCCGGTCCGAAAACCTCGATGTCGATAGGCTGCTCGCTGACTGCGTATGTCAGAAAGGCCAGGTTGGGACAATATTCCTCGGTGATTGTTTCCGGAAGAAAGAACCACAACGCCGACCCAGGACCTTTGAGATCTGGGGGAGCGTACATGGTGATGTCCTTCAGTGTGAGAGGATGCTGCAAGTTGTCCAATGTTAAAGGGGGGATTCCGTACGCCCCGTCCCAGATGAGATAAAGGCTTTCGATTTTGAGTCGACCGCATTCGGAAGAAAAGTCCTCCCAGAGGTGCCAGCTTACGGCGAGATGTTGGACACCGTCTGAAGCCTGGAGAAGGCGCAGAATCAGCGTTGACTCTTCGTTTGAGAGGCGACCGCGAGTTGACGGTAGATCAATGGCGAGGATTCGGATATGATTCGCATTCGGCAAAAAGAGCTCGCTGATTCTTTTCGTCCAGTCATCGCGGAGGGCAACGACAACCGTACGAAATACTCTGGACTTCGTCCTACACATCGATGGTCAGCTCACAAAATGGGAGGGAAGAAATGGTGCCACAGACCAAGCACGAAAGCGCAAGGCCACGAGGGACATCGTGCCCCACATTTCGACTCTATCGTCCAGGAGCATGTCGGTTATGAGGCGTTCGATATCGTCCGGAAACACAGATTCAACTTCAGGTGCCATGTAATGGGGAGTGCGTGCAGGACAGATGCGTGGTAGTAATGTATCTAAAATGGCAGTGTTTCCGACGGGTTTCCAGAAACGGCGATAACAAGTTAACAACGCTGCTACAGTGGTGAGCGCTGATATGTCGCGCAGAGCAGGAATTTACAGATTACGGACAGAGCGAAGACGCAGCAAGATGCAGACGAGACTGAGTGAACCCGCAGAGTGGGCACTGGGAAGAGAAGAGAATCGATTTGTTATGATGACATCACAAGGGATCGTGGCAGGACACCAATGCTGGTAAAGGGAGGAATATTGACCCCTTAGCTCAGCGGTAGAGCGTCGCATTCCAGTTGCCTTTGATTCCCAGCTGTGTCGCGAAGGCCGTCCGTTCAATCCGGGCAGGGGTCAGTTTTTTCCCGTTCTCATATCTACTCTGCGCTTCATGTTTTCTCCCCACCCCGACTATCGTTTTTTATCCAGAGCATGGTTGGAAGAACCTGTTTATTCCGTCAGGGATTGTTTTTTGCGTTCTAGAAGAAGGGCCAACACGAAAACCAGATGTAGTTGATTCATTGTTACCGATATTGGGAATACCACCAGTGGTCTTTTCCTCGCGGGCCAAAAATGTGGCGAACCCCCCATTCTAAGATTCGGGCGCCGTACGACCATACCACGTACGCTGCCCAGTGGTGGACGGATTTCATCTCGGCCACTACTAGTTTCCCCCGAGATGAAATCCCGCAACGTTATGGCCCAGGAAGCCGATACAGTGGGTCCGGCAAAGACGAGGCGCAAGTTGTAGACCGTTGGTGGAGAGGCGTGGGACGGAGACAGAGGGGAAAGCTGGACAGATCTTAAGGATCCGATACGTCCCAATGACGGTCTGAACCCGGGACAGAGTGAATCGCTTGCAACGGGCAAACGAAGTCGTCAAGGACACGAGCCACCTTAAGACGCTACGTAACCACATTCCGGGCGCGACCGTATGGCGACGATGCGGATCACGGATGATTTCGGGCCGATATTATTTGCGTGTGTATCTCCGCACTGCCACACCCTCTTTTTCTTCTTGCCCTCACCCTCCCGGAATGTTTCTTGTTGTCCTATCGTTTCTCCGCTGTGAAGCTCGTCTCTTGTTTGCCCTGCAGCTCGTATGCCTAAAGCGGACTCAAATGAGGTATCTTGAAGATCCTCCGGGCTGGCTTCGTGCCACGCGCAAGCCACGCGTATGGATCGGAAATTGGTTGCGAAAAGGTAGCAAGACTGGTGCTCCTAGCTCTCTTTCTTCGGGAAGGCGGGATGGCATTCCGGCGTACAGTCCCCAATCGAGGCACTTCGGTCTCCTTTTCGGTTCATTCAAAAGGATCTGCACCCACCCTGCTGTCGATGTACACAATTCAAATGTCCTGGCACACGTTGGATGGTCGATGTGTGTCCCATTGTGTGAGCACCACGAACCCGTCGGCCAAAAGCTCCGAAACCTTCTATGTAGCTCGCGACGCGCCTCGGAAATTGCAGGGGTGGAGGGGTCCCACCGCCGCGGAGGAGCTATCTATACGTACGACATTCCGCACCTATCGCGGTCTCGAGGTATAAAGCTCCTCTATGCATCCTTATCCTCAGATTCCTCACTACACATCGAACGAGCCTACCACTCAACCATAATGGTTCGTCCTTCCCCACTGCGAGTTCCGCGAACGCGTCTTGACGCTGTCCGCCCAGGGCTCGGTAGTCAGCGCAATCGGCCGCGCAATCAACTCAATCGTATCCGCTATCGCTGGGGTGATAGAGACTATCGTTGGAGCCATTACGACCGGGCGTGGACAGTAGTACCCTTGCGTCTCTACGTTGATATCATCGTTGAATCCATCTTTGAAGGTTATCGTGACGATATTCGATGTCATTGCCGATATTATATGCTGCCGTTGTTGCTCGCGCCGCAGTGGGCTGCGCAGGAGAGGGGGCGCTATGTAGGGACGTTGTGCGCTGCCGGGTGTGACTAGTTGATACGGCGGACCATGATATTCTATGGAACATTAATGGCGATCTTCGGATATGAATGGTAGTTATGACCTATGGGTTCATGCTCAACTTCCACCCATCGCACTATAATTGTTTGAGTACGCAGCGGTACAACAGCCTCTTCCTATGCACACCATCGCGCCGATTCCCCTACCCAAACCGCGGCTTCACCTCCCTCTCAAGGAACTCCTCAATTGTCCCGAACTTCACACCCAGTGCGACGAATTCGGGATCCGGCACAGGGGTGTCGGCGTACATGTTGTGCTCCGCGTGCGCTTGGGACTGCGGACGTAAGGCCGTCAGTTAATAACTTAAACGGCAGGGTATGGGCATGGGACAGGAAACGCACCATCTCGTCGACCGCGCGGTCCCCCCGTGGATGATCGAATAGGAGATGAACCGCACCTTGTCCAGTCATCTCCCCCAACTTCCCATACGCTGTAATGTCGCTGAGCACGGTGTACACCCTTCCCAATATCCCCTTTGACGCGTCACGATAATTCTTCAGTGCTCGATCCATGTGAAGGGCGCTTCGCCGGATGAGTTGAAGTATGGGACTGTGACGTCGAAGCCCGTGGGGGTCTTTTGCAGGACGCCAATTCTGTGCAGCAAAGGAGGGTGAATATCAGATATAACGTCAGGTGAAGGGAAGGAAAGGGGAGGGAGAAAGGGAGAAGGGAGAAGATAGAAGAAGGGGCACGAACGTCCAGTAATTCTCCAGGAAGGCGCCGAGGTGGAGGGAGACGTGGGGGAGGCCGGAGGCGTGGAGGTAGTCTTCCACCTCAGCCTTTTCTGTGTGAGCGAATACGTGAGATTACGATTGAAAGAAAATAAATCAGGCACGTACGCTCGTAGTGCAGCGCATTCTTGTATTTGCCCGTGTAGATTTTGCAAGGCTCGGCAGCGAGCTGCAAATATATGTGCGCCCTGAGTTTGAATACTGGAACCACGGTGCAAACTGTGTTAGTCATATATGAGCCGATTTATCCGTCTGCGCCCACATTCCAGCAGGAAGAGTGATAAATGGCTGAATAAGGGCTGAACTATGGAAGCCAAGCGAATGGAACTCGTGGGAGGCCAGGGGGATCTCCAGGCATGAATCAACGATACGACGCGGCGAAAGTGGGCAGGGGATCGGGTGCCCATTGCGAGGCCGCTCCACGGCATCTCCACAAGTCAGATTTCAACTAGCAAAGTCGATCAGAGACTCTGCCGCGTCCGGCTCTAGGTTAACTCGGGGACGCTGTGGTTTAGTGGGTGGAAAGAACGAAAATAATGGTTGTCGTTGCTTAGCTTTTGATGGATCATCCACGTGATCCCAGCGCGTCCAGCGAAGCCGGCCAAATAGTCGCATACAACATATGTACACGCACAGAACGGAGTGAGTGTAGCATTCAGTGGTATGCGCCCCGACTAAAACGGGGCAATGTATGCCCTACGTCATGTATCGAGGCTCGAGGGATTAATTCTCTCGGAGCACATCATTCCTGTGCATCGCTGTCAAATCGCAGTGGTTGAATCTCATGAATCTGTCGAGTGGTCGAGCACTCACGAGAGTTTCGCTCAGCGCACCGGTCGTTACAAACACAAATTCGAACAGATTCCTCGTCGTGACTCGCATGCGCACATGTCCCAAAAATAAGGGCATATTGTGGGCCCAGCTGCAAAGTGGTTTGAACTCCGAGAATTCCCAAATTGTCGAGGGCACAAATAGACAGAAAGTACAGAAATTATACAAGATTCCCAGAACAAGGATTCAACATCGGGGCCACTGGGACGTGACCTCAGCGGCAATTGATTACGGAGGACAGGGTGGTCGCGGACTCGATACCCAGTTTCATATCTCGAACGATCATTCGTCCAGGAATTTAATATCCTCTGTGAGCACCGGATAAGTGTGATGTCAAGTGGGAAGTAAATCCATTACTTGCGAAGAGATCTGTAGTATATCAGCTGAGATGAGTACAGGAACGAAGGGATGAGAAGAACCCACATCCGTATTCTCCGCCGGAGGAGCATCCACATAAATCATCCCCTCCGACCTTGAGTCGGAATCCATCCGTGAAGCCCTCAGCGCCCACTTGAAGGTCCAAATAATCGCCCCACTGGCTCTCGGCGAAGCTCATTTTCTGCCCAAACAAAATCGCTGGTCAGCGTTCCAACACACCATTACGCTAATGCTGCACGAACTGAGGATTTAATCCGTTTGAATGGTCTGTTCATTAGGCCGCGGCCTCGCTCTGGCTGCACCAGCACCATCGGGTTCTCCTTTGTAGAACCCGCAGTTCCATCAGCAACAGAGGCGTAAAATGCCGCGTTTCCCATCGCACGCTCCGCGGAAATATCTGCAAAGAGGTCTCCGTATGCATATATGGGCTTGCTCTCCGTTTTTGCAATGCATCGCTTGATGGAGGCCCACCTCAGCGGTGGACAGATTCGGATTTTTTCGAGGCGTCCAATCGAAGGCTCTGTTGGGTCGAAAGCAACTTTGGAGACGTCTTCCGCTGTTCGACTATACAACTGGTAATACACTGTACTTGTGATTGAGGGCCATTGCATGCGCATGGCAGACCGAGTTTTGTTCTTGTTTAATGTTCAACCTAGCCAAAGTATAGGATAAGCTTCCCGAAGCACTGTTTTCTTATTTATCAACCTGTACTTGGCGCTAATCATCACTGACATCAGGGTAGTTTGGACGGGGCGAAGATACCTTGAATACCAGCCAACACTCCACCTAGTACTTGCTCATAGTCTCGCTCGCCCTCGCCCGAGCTGCGCTCGGCTCGAGCTCGCGAGGGGAAGTTCAAAGTACAAACAACCAAATCCCAGGGTCATTGATCTGTTCAGCGGTAGGCATTCAGGTAGCTGACCGGGCAAATCCCACTGACCATTCCACCTGCCTAGTCGTACTCTCGCTCGCCCTCGCCCGAGCTGCGCTCGGCTCGAGCTCGCGAGGGGGAAAGTTGAAATAACTACAAATATCCCATCCTTCGCCAAGTTGGCTCAGTCTGGCCAGAATTTGAAATGCGGGAGACGGCCGATTGTGTGCGTCTGATGGCCAAAAAGAACGCAGGTTTGAAGAACGAACAGAACATTCACAAACAGAATTTATTCTGTTTTGTGCTATGGGTACCGAAAATGTCCGCTTTGGCTTACATACCGAGAAATGACACATCTTTAGTCATTATCACAAGTCATCACCTTTTGAACTGAAAACTCCGAGTCGTCGCCGGCCAGACAGTGCACAATGGAATAGCGCTGCCCTATAGGCTACCGACTGGATTTGGCACCGCAAGAATTGAAAGTATCAACCAGTTCTCACTCCGTGATAGTGTTGCCGCGGTTCGGTTCTGAACCGCCGCTGAACGCGAACTGGACCTGAACTG